CCAACAACAAGGGAGCCAGGGGGTCGGAGAAGGGGCAGGGAGGTTCTGGAGGGGGCAGTCAAGAGACGGGGTGGGGCTTTCTGGGGGGGGGTGGATAAGGTTTTGGGCAGTCAGGGTACAGGTAGGGGGTAGGGTCCTGGGGGGCATTTGGGGGGGAGGGTCTCAGGAGGGGGCAGTCAGGGGACAAGAGGCAGGGAGGCTTAGGTAGGGGGTGGAGTCCTGGGGGGGCAGTTAGGGGCAGGGGTGCCAGGAGGAGGCAGTCAGGGGACAAGGAGCGGGGGGAGGGTTGGAGGCTCTGAGGGGGGGAAGTGGGAGGGGCAGGGGCGGGGCTAGGGCAGGATGGGCGGGGCTAAGGCGGAGCTCCTCCCATCCTCTTTTTTGCTTGCTGAAATATGGTAACCCTATGCTTTCCAAGGTTAGATTTTTGTGGTCTCTGATTTCAAGGCCATATTCACTACAAAACTGGATGTACAAATTCAGATGTGTGTCTGAACAGTTATGTTACTGATTCTCCCAATCCTAATTCTGTTTCACCCTAGAGTTGATTAGTCAGGAAGCCAGATGTCAGCACTTGTATAATATCTAATACAGAGCTGCATCTTATTGTTATAACTATCAATCCAGGAGGAGAAGAGCCTGCACTACCAGTTTTGCCACAGTGTTTAGTAGTAACTGCCCCAACTGTGCTATGACAGAGTTTGATCTTGCCTGTACAGATGAGACCAAATTCTGTAAAAAACACTGTCTAAAGATAATCTTTGCTAGGGCTAGTGTAACCCACACACCTCTGGGGGATGGTGTTCTGTCCCATCTAGTGGCACCGAAACCACTTAGAGCAGTGGTGGGCAATATGCGGCCCACACACGGCCTGTTGGGGTAATTTGCTGGCGGGCCGCCAGACAGTTTGCTTACGTTTGCACGGCTGCCTGCAGCTCCCAGTGGCCATGATTCACCGTTCCAGGCCAATGGGAGCGGCGAGAAACAGTGCAGGCTGCAGGGACGTGCCGGCCACTGCTTCCTGCAGCTCCCATTGGCCAGGAATGGCGTACCGCGCGTACTGGGAGCTGCGGGCAGGTGCCGTGCAAATGTAAACAAACTGTCTGCCGGCCTGCCAGCATATTACCCTGATGGGCCGCATGTGGCCTGTGGGCCGCAGGCTGCCCACCACTGACTTAGAGAGAGATTAATGAGTCTGAGGGCCATATGGCTTTGCAGTAGAGGCTCATGCACTAAGCTCCAGAGGTCCCAAGTTCAATCCTGCCTGCCGACGACCAGGGGTCTGTTGGTGTTACACTAGCGCATGGTTCTTGAGTATTTCAGGGCTTGGTCCCAGCCACATAGATAAGATTGCCTTGTTATAATACGCTTGAAGTGCTACTGTGTTTAAACACTGCTTAAACACGGCAAAATCTATAGCATGGACAGGACCCAACTGGTACTGGAATGACTGCTACCTAAAAACCCAAATGCTCCATTAACAAATATTTCTCTCTCTTTTATATCTATCTGTATGGGTTCAGTTCAGTACATCTGTCTCAGTCTCTAAGTATCAGAGGGGTAGCCGTGTTAGTCTGAATCTGTAAAAAGCAACAGAGGGTCCTGTGGCACCT